TGCAATTATTATAATATTTTCCTAAGTATGTCGAGGTAGCTCGTACAAAAATAAAATAAAAAAGGCATTTATTGTCTCCACAAACAGTGCTTGTAAAAATAAAAATAGATGCTTTACATAACGTCAAAATATAATCTGGTTGTGGAGGCTGATCCCTGAACTAGGAGAATCTGTATGTCAGGTAAGTAGGTCTCCACCCCGGGCAGACTTAATAGCTATGATTGAGCAATTACAAGTGAAAACAAAATAAAAGTGAAACTTACAATTTTAGACAGTACAAATTTTGTTCTAAAGAAGTTAAGAGGGAGCATGCCAAAAAAGTTTTGACGTTGGCTCCGCCCAAATTTGTGAAACAAATATATGCCTGAAGTTCGCGTGACATGCGACAGAAGATGTTAAATTTTGCGTATTAAAAGTACCAAATTCGTTTTAGTGGAATAACTCTAAAACTAAAGGGATTAAAAAATATCCGTAGTGACAGTTCTTGATCATGCATAAATATAATTAATTATCTAATTTTTGCCCTAATAACCTGTAGCATTTCGAGGATGAATCGAAAAAATGTGAAAATTAGAGCTCATTTCGTGATTTTTATCTATCGAGGAAACATTATTGTTTTATGTTTCTGATTGGTGTCTATGCTGGAGTATATCGTGTAGTTACTCATACAATATTTTATTTTTAACTTTAAAGTGGATATACCCCTCTAAAATCAAATCGAAGATTAGGAATTTTTCCTCTGCTCCCTTTTAAGCTAAGAGAGAATGAAGTGGTGCGCGCGCGCGCGTGGTTGCATGCGTGCGTGCGTGCGTGCATGCATGCGTGCGTGCGCGCGTGTGTGTGTGAGAGAGTGTGTGTGTGTATGTTGTGTTAGTGTGTGTGAAAGTTTGAATTATAATTGTTATCAACAACATATTAACTATTGTGATAATTAATATTTGTTGATAATATTAGGAAGGTATAGTTAGAAGACTTACAGTTTCATCATAATTAAAATGTTTAAGCCAAGTTACTATCTGTTTCTTGCATTGGTATTTCGTTAGTGGATATATTTCTAGTAAACTATTTACTTTGTTGTACGTATATGGTTACACGAAGTGAGCGAAACGCTTTCCAAAGGAAGTTTTAATAGAGCCGCGTCTAAGGACTATATCTTTCCTTCGTTTCGTTTTGTAGTGTGTTTCGCACGCACGCACGCACGCACGCACGCACGCACGCATGCACGCACGCACACACACACACACACACACACACACACACACACACTCAAAGAGAGACACTTGTAGCACAGGTTTTAAACCTACAACAAGCACCAGCTCCTACAAAACACTGTTCTAAAATTACTAACATTGTTTATGTACTTCTACTTTGTTGTTGTATTTCCTGGAGAAATAAAAAGTATCATTATTATTATTAATTGTAGTTTATGATTACTGTAGTCTGTCTTTTTGGAAAATGACGTTTGCCTGACAGACAGGGTTGCCTGTTTTCATTAAATTTTAAATAGTTATGTAGTTTATGTCGACAGTTTAATCGATAGATTGTGAAAGAATTACATTTTGCTAAAAATGGCTCAATTGTGAATGTTACGGCGTTCTAATGATTACTATTTGCGTGACTGCCTTCTTTATTCTTATTTTGACAGTTGGCCTACTACTATCTAGATGAATTTTTATTCATATACATTTTAACAAAAATAGCCGGATTTGATTACCCATATTGAATTAAAATCAAAAACTTTAAAACACGTCTCCTCTTTGTATTTTTCATAAACATAGTTCTAAATACAGTGTATGTACGTATGAACTTACAAAAATAGACAATTCAAATTAACTTGTACTCAATAATTGGACAAATAATGGGTCGAGGAAGATTCAAATACTACAAAACTATTAAAGCAGGTGTTTCATGTTTTGTTCCAGTAATATAACAACACAATAACATTTCTCCGCGTCTCCCAACAACAGAAAATTAAACCTTAATTACTCGCATGGGGTCAACTTAACCTTTACGCGCTAGAAAATAATACTTAGATCGATCGGAAAGCCCTCTGGCCAACAGTATAGCTTCGTAATTCGCGCTAAATATGACATTTTAGCATTGACTTTATTTGTAAGTCAATGCATTTTAGTGACAAACAAAGAGTACGCACGTGTCACTGCACAGTTAATGCAGCGTGACCCCGTGCGTGTAGTTAGCAATAGAGTTTGTAAAATAGAGCTATTCAATTGATTTTTTCATTAAAATTACTTTAGTAATATTTACAAAGATTTCAAAAATAATTCGATAAATAACGTCAGGCGATAACCAAAAGTGCAACCAAAAAAAAAACGACTATGGAGATGTAGGATCCAGAGAATCGAGCAGTCCATCGACAGCTATGCCTGGACCTTGGACCTTGTGGACTATGCAATAACTGTGCAAAAATGCATGAAATGCACAGAATTTGTTTTCAAAGACCACTCTAGGATCTATTGCCAAACTTTGATTATGATTTCGTGATGATTCAAAACCGTCATTTTAGAGACGATTCTTAGGTAAATTTTTTTATAACTTCCTATTCGTTTTTAATTGCATTATTAATATATAGTAATTGTTCCTTTGAGATCTAATATATATTACAGTATATGTGCAATATTCGGTCTTTTATTTAATACCATTATTAGTTCATTAGAAATCTTCATAATAAATTGGGGTCAGAGAGGACCCCAATTTATTATATATATATATAGAGCGTCGGCTGTACGTTGGGCGTTTAGCGCTTTTCCTATTGCAGTCTTAGGTTAACTTAAATTATGTGTTATATTTTATTTATACGTGTACAAGGACTGTAATGTTTCCAATAAGACGTTGCTTCATTCGCGTGGATTTTTGTTTCTGTAAATTTTCATTTACACCTCTTTCCGAGCCTTATATTGGATCCAATGACCTCCCTTTAAGCGAATGTTGAACGAGGAGGGATCCATCTTGGGAGGTATAGTCGTTTTTTCCGATGGCGACACTTCGAAGGCATTTAGGAGCTGGTATGCCATTACCTTCACTTCGCAGAGGGCGAATCTTGAACCTGTAAAATAAACAAGACTTGTTTTAGAACTGAAAATAATGTGTACAGTTACCGATAGGTTATTTAGCCGTGGTAGCCTCTTGATATAACGTACCGTTTCTTAAGCAGAGGGCGTGGATTCGTATCCGGGCTCACATCACTGAGTTTCTTGGAAATTATGTGTGAAATTTAATTTGAAATTTACCATGATTTTTTGGGAAGAAAAAATTTCGTGATGTATCGTAATATCGTGTGTACAGGTTTATACGTCGAAGAAAATTCACAACCACGGACATAATATATCTAGATAGACGCCGCAAGTACAGCTATTTGTATGAAACCAAGCGTGCCACATTTTTTGTAGCCATTTGTCACAAGAACTATTTACTGATCGAAACCTCCTTCCGCTCGCTCTAAATCGATTGATTGAACGGAATACGCGTAAACACGCGTAAGTCAAAGTCAAAGTCAAAGATTATTTATTCCATATGTAAAATAAATTTACACTTGAAAACGTCACATTTAAGCTACTGCTCGTTCACTACGCTGACCTCCCTGAGAAGAACGAGCAAGAAACTCTAGGGATTGCTCTTTTCAAATAAACTTAAATGCTATGGAATACACTTTGAATCAAATTTGTGTGGATTCTGGAGCCATGTCGTCTTTCCATACATCTTTATCTAACACGTAGTCTTCAATTTTGTAATATGATTTTTCGATCAAAATATTTTTAATGTAGTTTTTAAACTTAGGAAATGATAAACTTAATATATGCTCCGGAATCTTATTGTAAAAACGTATACAGTTCCCCATAAAAGAGTTGTTTACCTTGGTTAAACGAAATCGTGGTACCATGAGTTTGGACTTAGCTCTAAGGTATTCCATCCAATTAATCGATTATAAATAGAATAATTTTTGATCAAGCTTGTTCAAGTATTTGTTGATCACAAGTAGTCGTAATATTAATATAGTAGAAAAATACTAGAATAAGATAGCTAAGTTCTTTATTTTCTTGTTTAAAAAAAATGTTGGTTACTTAAAAAAATTAAGACTTTATTTCATTCATTGTTTTAACCTTGTTTTAACGTTTTAAACTTGTTGAAACCACATGTTAGTGATATACATATCTTAACTTCTCTCGATAGCGTAATCCATTGACCGTAACTGCATTTCCAGCCGACGCACAGCACAAGTCACACAACCACCGAAACAATGAATTTATTGGAAACCAAATTTTCCGATCGCATAACTTCACGAAATTCAGCCGTTAAGTGGCCAGCTCGATCATATGATTTAACACCGCTGGATGATTTTTAGGGGGTTATGTTGAAGACACAGGCTATACGGAGCCTATTAAATCGATTGCAGCCTTAAAACTCAAAATTCGTGAAGTAATTAACGAAATGGCCCCACCATTTTGTCAAAAAGTTATTAAATCTTTGATGAAAGAATCGACATCTATAACTGTGCTCGTGGTGGAAGTTTATCAGATATAATTTTTCATTCATAATTGCCAAACCTTACTTTTTTTAATACAATAAAAATTTTAATCCTTTATTAACGCAAAATGCCTATTTTTCACTACATTTACAAAAATTTTTAATTAAACTATGTTATTATTCACAAACGTGTTAACAATATTGGCCAGGCGCAGGGGAGCGCTTTGTGCAGAAAATCCGACACGCTCCGAAGTGAGATGTGTGGTCACGAGAGACGGCAAGCTGTGACAACCATGCCAAATGAGGTCTCTACACGTTGGCGCCGCCTTCACTCGGCGAGGGACACCAAGAGATTGCTGGCTTTATATTACCACAAAGCGCTGAGTATAAACTATTATATGGGAGATACGAAAAAATACTCACCGATACAATTCCTAGGTCCAAGTCCAAACGGGATATAAGTGAAGGGCAGGATCTTGTGTTTGTTCTCTATAGAGAACCTCTCAGGGTCGAACTTGTCGGGGTTTGAGTAGTACGCAGGGTCGCGGTGTATCGCCCAGACGGGGATCTGGAGAGCTTCGCCTTTGCGGATCTACGAGTAGATACATAAAATTTAAAAAAAGATTAAGGGAAAGTTATAGTTTTCCCTCTCGTAGACTGAACGACTACGTCTCGGTTCAGCACGTAACATTCAAAAGTTAGCTTAAGTCTTCTTACGTAGCATTTTTTATTTCTAAATTACTTCGTCAAAATTTACAACGTTTATACCTACTCTTGAATGTATTGGTTTAAATTGAAGCATATACCAAACACCTACTTTTTTAAGACATCGCCGATGCCTGCAATGCCCACTCGCCAACTTTATTTTTTGGATATTTTCTGTTATTTTTGTAAACAGCCAAATTTATTTACTAGTACTATGCTCCCCGGATTTTGGGGAAAAAAAATTAAACAAGAAACAAAAATTGGAAAAAAAACAAAAAACCTATTTTGTGAAAAAAATAAATAAACAAAAAACAAAATAAAAAGGCGCCTGATAATCAGCGACACGTCTATCGATAATATTTGCAGAGCCACTCAAAGCTTTATATCGCAAAGACCCGAGATGCACCACCACGCCCGTTAAACCCTGAATCATAAGTTGACAAGTCCCATGTGCCTTTAAAATCACCATCACCCTTCAAAACCGGAACGCAAGTAATGCTCACATTACTGGATGAACACTTCCACAAGGAGCTCTACTGCTAATAAATAGTTGGTTACTAGGTACCATAACGTGTTTATTTATGATATAAGGACATTTAACACTTACAATGTAGTCCTCAGTAGATTTGTCATTAGGTTTGCCCAAGTTGTAGTCTCTGTTACAGTATCTGTCCAAGCCAACGCCGGGGGGCCACAACCTCAATGTTTCTGGAATATAAAATATTCGTTTAAAAGCACTTCAAATATTCTAACATTTTCCTAGTTAACCTATATAATATAGCTAGCTCAAACTAAGGAAGAAAAAAGCAATGGAAGTACCTTAAGCCTCGCTTTCTGTCAGAACCGCTGTCGCCAAAACTCACACAATCATTATGTTAAACAATATGAAATCTTGAGAATGATTAGTCATACTTTCTAATTTGATGAACTGTTAATATAATTTAAATATAACCTTGTTGGAATTTCTACCGTGAAAGTTATTTCAAATTATTGCAAGTTAAGACCTTAAAAACTTCATTATAGTTTTGTACACAAATTGAGTTTCAAAAAAAGAACGTTGTATTTTTGCGAATAAAACAGACTCCTTATACGCATTACTGTTTTCCTAAATAGAATAATGTCTCTATATTTTAGTGAAATTATCAAAATTCCAATTATTTTATTCTAAATATCTCAAAATCGGCAAATCCTTTCATCGCGATTGCAATACAGTCTATGTCATCGATACGATAAAACGCCCAAGAATATTAACATTTGGATTTTGTTATACTGAGGATTTTGTAAAGAATACAATAGAAAGTTCTCCTTCATACCCTTACCTGATACAACCATGTCCATATAAACCATGTTCTGTATAGAATTGTAGTCAAATTTCCCGTTGTTCTTGGCCTCGTTCTCTCTGATTTCCTGGTACAGTTTCTCTTGAACGTCCGGGTTGACAGCCAGCTCGTACAGCAATAACGACATAGCAGAGGATACGGTCTCGAAACCAGCTATGAAGAACAGGATAGCTTGAGCGCACAAATCGTCATCCGACCATACTGAAAATAACAGTAATAAAAGTTTAAAAACACTCTCAAAATTTCTTAATATAAATAATAAAATCGTCAAGAACCTGAATGTGTACTTTTAATATTTTATAAGTAAAAGTTAGTGATATCATCATCGAGTATATAACCAGAAATAGAGACGAAATAAATGTCATCCATGCCTGGCAACTCATCAGGTAAATGGGCCTTATATCACTTTTAAATATCAACTCCCGTTTGTGCTGAAATCACAAATCAGAAAACTGAAATAATACAGCGTCAGCAACTGACCTGTGTGTACGTCTCTGTATATTCCAAAAGCGTTCTGTATTTATTGTAATAAATATATTATCTCTAACAAGGAGGGCTGTTCCATTCGATGGTGTGGGAAAAACAGCAATACATGTAATTACAAAACAAACGGAATCAAATTTCATCGGTAATTAAATAGTAAATACCTAATTTTGCAATTTTCGTCCATTATAGAAAATTTTATCACAATCAAACGAATGTATAAGTGTACGATTTGAAGAAGGATTTAAAATTAGATTTCAGAAATTTTAAATTAGTTTTTTAGGTTATGTAAGAAAAAAATTCTAATCTCAAGTATGAATATCATTACTCTACATTGAATCACATATTATTTTATAGTAATCAACAGCAAAATCGCAAAACCCATTTTATTATATAAATTCCAGTTATTCCAACTGATTCAATTAAACAAATCAATTCATTCAATTAATTGATCGATTTGTAGTTGGCAGTACAGTTGGTCATCACTAAACTGTCTATGATCTTTTTTTTTTTTTTTTTTTTTTTTTTTTTTTTT